GACGGAGGAGATTTGTTTGACGAATGAGGATTATAATATCTCCAACATGAGAAATAAAAGACTATTAAACAGGCAAGCAATAACAATCATATCTCAATTTTATTCAATGTTTCGTTCAAAAATCCATTACCAAGCACGCTCACGCCTTATATATAGCACATATACTCGCATTATGCCCGTAGGTGATGCGTTGCGTGTGGCAAACTTCTCGCCCTTATTTCTTTTTTTTCGGGGCTATTCTTGTAAAAGTCTTTTTAAAGAAATGACGCCCCAATTGGGGTCAATACTCGAAAAGACAAATTAATAAAATTGAATATATTTTTTTGCCAACGGCACAAAAATCAACCAATTTTTTATCTTTTTTTCGTATTTTTCCCCAAGGTTCGTCTTTATTAAAAGTCTATAAAGAACGAACGAAAAAAAGAATAACCGCCAAATATTTTTTAGATGGTCGTAGTTGTTCGCGTGGGTGGTATCTACACGCATGAGATATTATTGTTTTCCTTTACTTTCTCCTTATAATTTTATTCATTTATTTATGGTTGTAGGGTTATTATTAGAACACATTAAATCTATTGTAAATTATAAGGTGATTTACTATGAGAGATATAATTAATTGTTGTTAAGATGGTTAAGATTAGACAATGGGCGGTAGTAATTATTCACTTTTGTCTTATGTTTTGGGTTGAATTTAAGCGTGATTTAGTTTCCTATTTATATTTTTAGGTTGAAAAGTATTTTAACGCCCTATTTTTCTTTTTCCTCGGTTGCCTACTACTTTTCTTTGGTGGTCTCGGGCTTGGGGTCGTTCGGTAATTGTTGGTCTGGTAGTAGTAGGGGTGGGGTGATATCCTTCGTAAACAGTGCTGCGGTGTTCTACTTTTGCTACCCAAACTTCCCTATCCTCCTCTTTTATCTCATATATTATCTCATAAATAACGCGGTAATCATCAACGGGATATCTCCAAAAACCTTTTCAATTACCTTTTAACTCTTTGCCATGTCGGGTGGGGTTGCTGGCTAAATGTCTTTCTACTTTGTTTTCAATCTTTTCGGCAATTAATCGGTTGCCAATCTCTTTTAAACCCTCTTTGGCTTTCCTTTTTCAAAATACTTTGTATCTCACTGTCTATTAATTTGTGGTTTTTCTTTGGCTTCTTTGGCGTCGTAATATTCTTTAAGTTCTTTTCTTACTTCCTCGCTGGTATAATACTCAACTTTGCCTGCTTTTTTTTCTTTTATATATTCCTCAATATCTCTCATATCCTCCATATCTTCAAAATACCTAAATAACGCTTCTACAACATGATATTCATGGGGTCTTTTTCGGCCTTTGAAATCTTTTTTCATATATCTTTCGGTGTCATCTCTGATGCCTCATTCATTATTAATATACCTAATTAACGCCTCCTTGATATGGTATTCACGGGGTTTTTTAGTTATCTTTTCTAAATTAGCAAGTTCTTTTTCTAGGTATTGTTCCGCTTTTTCAGTTAAGTTTTCTAATTTTAAAGTTAAAGTTATCATAATATTATAATTTTAATTGATTTTTGTATTAAATTATGAGTTGAATTATTAATTCATCCTAATTTTAACTTTCATACTGCCTTTGGTGGGGTCTTTGATTTCAATTATATTTTCGGGCATTAATGCTAATCTATAAACAGAAAAAGAACGCCCGCCCGTCTTTTGGTTGATAGTCTGGTTAAGTCTACCAAAAATAATCAGCACTCTATCTGGGTGTAATTGTTCTTTTAAGGTTTCCCATGGTTTAAACTTCATCTTGTCAAATGTCAACTGTAATCTTTCCTTTTCTCGTTCACTAGGTATTAGTCTGCATTCCTCTCAACATTGAGGAAAAACTTTGGCAAAAGTAAATAAATAATCTGGTTTCTCCTCAAAAGATTTAAGGG